TTTCAATGAATGAATCCACCAAAGTATGACTCACTGCCTCTTCTGTTGAAAACTGAAATGTCGCAAAAATCAAAAGTACATTTGGGAATAATTTGACAGGAAGATCTGTTGTTGTGCAATAAGAGGTTGTACCCATGGTAACCTTTGTCTGAACCTCTTCTATGTAGCAACAAACATAGTTTATGATACACTTTAATGCACTAAAAACACACACGGACGGACGCACACACACACACACCACACACTCAATCTAAAAGTCACTCTGAAACTCCCTGTGTGTCATTATTACCTGGAACTGCAGGCAACTTCCACATTGAGGTTACACTGGGTCAAGTGATTAATTACAGACCACTGTGACCTACATTTAAAGGTACTTTTTTACACCTCTTATTTAGCTCTTTTTTTATGTGTATACAAGCTATAACAGACTCTAAGTTGTATAAATCACACTTTAATATAGTTGCATGTAGTCGTAAACATATGTAGGACATTTTAAGTGTTTTATTAATGTAACTTTTAATATCCATAAATGGTGTTTAAACACTAACTGTTATAACATAACTGTACATTTATTTAAATGTTTCAACTTTTTATAGTATTTTTATCAAATATTATATATTGAATAACAAATACAGTGCTTGATAGGTAAGAACAACTGTATATAATAAATAGAATAAAGAAATGCTAACATATAAACATATTTTACTAATCTTCATAATGTAAATTGTTTTTTTTGTGGACAAACAGTTTTAGGTGCCTCACGGAGGAGATATGATACCTTATCGAACACTTTAAAATGCCTTTATATCTGCCTACAATTACATTACAGTGTGTTATCACCCATTTGTAGTTATACATAGGCCTACTGTGTATAAATACTGAATGGGTGGGTTCAAATAACGATAAACATTTATTTGAATGAAATAAAATGTCGACAATTTCATAACCAAACGGTCTATTTATGACTTGAAAGTCATTCTGATTAAACCCACAGTCATATAGTTGTTATCCTTGATGGATCAGCAGTCCATTCAATGTGGGCATGAGGGAGTGTTCAATGTTGACTCAGTGCCAACATGATAAGAGAAGTGAAAGTGACACGTGGCAAAGCCCCGCACATAATGTACCAGGACACCCGGTGATCTGTAACCATTCAGGACAACATTCTTTTGTTTGAGGTCTTCAAGCTGTTTTCCTCCTACAGTAACTACTTATATTTAATTAAAAGCTCTCTGGTTACGCATATTTATTTGCATCACATTCTCTGCTGCAGCAACAAATAAACACATTAGATGCATAGACTCAGTAAGGAAACAGTAAGATACTTTTGAACAAGGGGACAGAGAGACCCCACAATAAAAAGAAACACTTCACTGAGACACCATGATTCTTTAAGTTGTTTTAGGTTCTTTTTGTTATATTATATATTATTCTGAAATTGGTCAAGCTATATAATGAGTACTTTGCTTTTGGCACTTTAATTTGATGCTTTTTATAATGTAGGACTTAAAGGTGGGGTAGGTAATTTACTTCAGAAACACTTTTTGTTATATTCCATGGAATGCTCTTAACATCCCGATAGCAATGAATAAATTAAATGCTTTGACAATAAATATATACAAATATTTCATCTATGGAAGCCGTGGCGCTGTAAAAAGCAAGTCCAATTATCTGCCTCGGCCCGTGGCAGATATTTGGATGGCCTTCCATCTCGTGCACAAACTCATCTCGTGCCCTCATTGGTCATGTGCGCATGTGTGTTGGAGGAGGGGCACTGTAAGGAAGGAATTTTCAAATTATAGCTGACTCGAGCTGGTTTCTCCATTCTTACCTACCCTACCTTTAAGGCACGGACACACCAGGCTGATTATCGGCGTCGGTGGGCGTCAGGCCGACGATGATTGGTGTGTCTCGCACGGTCGGGTCTTTTCAGCCGGGCTGACGGCAAATAAATCACTCTGATTGGCTGTTCAGCTTAGCGAATCAGTGCATGAGAAGCGAAACGGAAGTGAGGGACCCAAACAAACTATTAAGAAGGCAAATCTGAGATTTAATTTAACTCCAGCTCTCGACACAGGTTCGGGAAAGCCCCATGAGCTTCTCGTTGTAGAGTGAAAATGGAACGCACACTCTATTTGTTGTTTGTTTATATCACGCAGTCTGTTCTTCTTCTCTCGGTTATCACGCAGTCTGTCTTCCAGTTGTTGCCTCTTTTGAATGACGAATACACACTAACGCCGCCTGCTGGTAAGGAGAGTTATTGCCACTCACGCATGCGCAGTTCGTACGTGCAACTTGGCTGTCCGCTGAAGTCTTTGCGGTGTGTCCCAGTGAGAAACATGGCCAAGACGCAGGAGACGTGAGGCGACGTTCCGTCGGGACGTGATCTTTGGTGTTCTTTTCTGTGTAAGAAGCTTTAGAGGCTTAACACACTGCCCGTTTATTCAGTGTATTAATGAGGTTGTTGGAGAGCAGCTCCACAGAGGTGTGTGTGATGGCCGGTGTTGTGCCGTAGAATAGATTGAAGGCTTGCCGTGGATTGAAGCCGTGTTCGCGGGGACGCAGGGCTGACGTCATTTCAATTTTTGGACGTTTCGTCTAGTTTGCTAAGCAGAAGAACGAAATAAATTATTGACTTTCTCTCTATTGACCGATATCTTTCCCATCAGATTAAAAAGCAAACGGCTGAATAAAAAAAGTGCATACATTTGTGTGGAAGCTCAATTTAAGGAAAATGTACAAATCTGTAAAATGTTTCGTATTGGAATAAACTTCAGTGTTTTTATGTTTTAATCCTACAGAATACATGGTGAACGGATAGGCCTACGATGTGTTTTGTCATTATAGTACTATTTTATAAAACATTCTCTGTTGTTTAAAGTGGACCTATCATGCTATATTGGAAACATATATTGTAAGGCCATACCTATACAAAACATGTTTGTGAAGTTTTTTGCTTAAAATACCAAACAGTTCACCCATTGTAGCCATGCCTCATACTGCTCATACCCCTCTTTTGCAGCCCTGTTAGAGAAACACAGATTTTGGGTCCTTAGCTTGAAAAAACAAAAAGAGGAGGCGGAGCTAATGCCTGATCAGAATTCTACCGGAGATAAAGTTAAATTCTGCTGTGATAAAATGCCATCCTGTTCTAAACCACATCAAAGATTATTTCTGAAACAGTATGGAGCTCAAATGCTTATTCTCTTGCGGGTTTATCACAAGGTGAGTTCCTTTTTTTATTTCCTGCTTTTTAAACACATGTGCTCTACAGTACAGGTTAGCTCTGAGTGTTAGCGAGGCTTGCTAATGTAAACAAAGACGAGATTACGTCCAAAACACGTCAGGCATTGTTTCTGATGGCAATTTTCTGTGGGTCCGCTGCCGATTTGACGTCAGATCGGCAGCAAATCTGTATCCGCTTGTTGTACCCCTGTTTTAAAAAGATTTGTGTACGGAGGAAAAGAGAGAGGGTTTTATTTTCTGACGCTGCGTGAGTTCCCCGACGCACCGGGGAGACATATTTATGTATAAAAGACATCACAAAGTGCATTTTGCATGATAGGTCCTGATACTTGATAACCACAAATACAAATACGTAATGCTTTTGTGTGCACAAACTACAGGTGAACAGCAAACACCAGTGTGATTTTGGTGGGAGAACGACCACCCTGGACAAAGTTATAGTGGTGGGGGTACCAAATCGGGCAGCACCAACGCCTGGTCTGCCACATGTGGAAGCCCCATTTTAGTTTCTCACCTGCTGAGCCCAGAATAAAAATGATTGGGTGTGCACAAACTAAAGGGGGACAGCAAACACCAGTGGGATTTTGGCTAAAGTACGACAATCTTGGACAAAGTTGTAGTGGGGGTTCCAAATCCGGCAGCACCAACACCTGGTCTGCCACATGTGGAAGCCCCTCTTTAGTGTCTCACCTGCTGGGTCCAGAGTAAAATGCTTTGGTGTGCACAAACTACAGGTGCACAGCAAACACAAGTCTGATTTTGGTGGGAGTACGACCACCCTGGAGCCTGGACACAGTTATAGTGGGGGTGCCAAACCAGGCAGCTGCACCACCTGCTCTGCTGAACATGGGCTGTAGAGAAACCGTGCAGACCTTCTCTATTGACACCAGGATTGATTAACCTTGTCGAAAAATAAAGAACTTTAACAGTGTGAGAGAGGCACAGATACAATAACAATAATACATTTTATTTGAGGGCACCTTTCAAAACATTCAGTGTCACCTTACAATACACAAATAAATAAAATACGAGTGGCATTACAATACAAAAATCTGCTGCATAAAAAACCTCAGAGGAAAATTACATTCTATGGAGCAATTCAAGTGAGTAAAGCCAGTTTGAACTAATTATTCGTCAGGCTTGATTTGAAATAACACAGTGTCTGACTATATCATATAGCCTACTATGTGATATCATAGTAATTTTTCATGTATTTTGTATTTGTGGTTATCAAGTAACAGACACTTAAACAACAGAGAATGTTTTATAAGATAGTATCCTACTATACTGACAAAACAATCCAACATTCCTTAAATTGAGCCTCCTCGCAATTATATGCAGATAATTTATTCAGCCGTTTGCTGTTTAATCTGATGGGAAAGATATCGGTCAATAGAGAGAAAGTAAATACTTTATTTCGTTCTTCCGCTTTGAAAACTAGACGAAACGTCCAATAATTGAAATGACGTCAGGCGTCAGCCCTGCGCCACCGCGAACACAGCTTCAATCCATGGCAAGCCTTCAATCTACGGCACAACACTTGTTTTCAAACCAGTGTTCTTGTGTATTACATTTCTTTGTGCATGCTTTTTTTCAGAATATTTACAAGTTATACTTTTAAAAAGTGGTGGGGACAAAATTGACCATTTCAAAAAGTGGTGGGGACATCAAATGACGTGATGTAGTTTACTTCTTCCAACAGATTGACTACAACTCCCAGCATACGGCTGACTTGACGGAAATAGGAGCCATTAACAGAAGGTTAGTTCGTTTTGTATCTCACTGCACTGCATCGGGGCGGTTCTAAAAGTGACATTGGAGAACACAAGAACATTGATCTCTGGTGTACGCAGGTGATAAAAACAAACGCCACATCGTTGAGAGTCTATGACCGTTACTACGTGCGCGGTGTTATGGCTGGTGTTGTAGTTGTTGTACTTAGCCTAGCATGTTTAGTTTGCAAAACATCGTGATATAACTTCATTTATACATCAATGAAACCATTGGACTCAGATGAGGAGGAAGCGGAGCAGCTGGTTGCTCACCAAAAACAGCTTCGACGTAAGTTAAATGCTAAATTAAGTGTTAAATGTGCAAACAGCTAAAGAACGAAACGTTAAGCTCAATGATGAACTGGTTACATGTCACACAGTAAGTATGTGACAGAAGACCGAGTGTATTAAACGATATCTTTATAAATTCATGAAATGTGTTGTTTACAAAATGAGTTATATTATAGTTTTAGACTCTCCGGTGTGTCATTGAAACTATGGTAACAAGAGGACAGGGAGATTCACTGCCACCTGTAGCTGACTCCCTGTCACAATACTGTCAAACATCCTGATACGAATATTAGTTTAGCTTAGCTCAGTGCTGGAAAAAGTATTCAGATTCTATACTTGAGTAAAAGTACTAATACCCCGGTGTACAAATACTCAATTTTAGGTAAAAGTACTGCATTAAGATTGGTACTTAAGTAAAAGTAGTTAAGTTCAATTAGGAAAATGTACTTAAAGTATTAAGAGTAAAAGTACTCATTGACGAAAAAGCTCAAACAGTATTTGAATATATAAATATATTTCAAAGCAAAAGCAACAAACATTTGCATTTAGAAAACTGGAACCGTGAATTATTTTTACTACAACACATATGTTGACTTGATAGTGAAGCTTAGTGTAATTTTCTTTCTCACTGTTATGCTTATATTGGTAGGAAATGCACAGTGTTATTATCTAGTACCACTACATTAACAATGCCATGACCTGTAGCAGCATGTGGCATTTAACCTGTTTGTTAACGTGTATTAGATTCTGCACCAAGGCGAGCTGTTTGTTCATTCGGCAATACCTAAATGAACTATGAGATTAATTTCAGTCAGTGTTATAAATATAGTTATTTATATACGCAACAGTGATTTGGCCAACTGTTCACATTTATATGGGTGGTGGGTATGACTTTTTTTTTCCACAGTCACCAACTAAACTGTCACTGGGCACAGAAATAATATACTGAATACAACATATTAGTATGTGTGTATAATGGTTTCAGAGCGGGCCAACCAGAGTCTGCAGCAGTTGAGCAGTGCACTGGAGCAGCAGAGCTCTGATGAAGAGGAGGAGGAAGAGGATGAGGAGCCCAGAGGCAGGGAGGGGAGCCTCTTCACCATGGCTGGAGAGGACAGGACTGCATGGAGCCAAAAGACACAGAGTGAAGCAGGTGACAGTAACACTAATAACATGTGCCATACTTTTTTTATTATAATTGTTTTATCTTTAATACTTTTTTATGCATGCTTCTAAGGTAACATTAAGCTCTTTTCTGCTGTAACAATGTACATTTCCCCTCTGTGGGACGAATAAAGGTATGCTGATTCTGATTACTTTCAAAATCATGTGCAATACTACTTTTTATTATTCTTTCCTTACCAAAATGTACTTGCCCAATTAAGTTCACTTTTATTGTTTTCCTACTAGGCTCTGGTGTTAGTATTACTTATTCTACATTACATTTTTAATTGATATACTACGTATTTTTACTCATATTTATATTCTTTGTTGGTACTGTTTTTAGTATTACTTTGTTATTGTTGAGCAATCTCTGGCACAGGAGATTATTCAAGTTGTATCTCATTTTATTTACGAGATACCAGACTCCCTGGATTTTTCCCTGTTCATAATCTTCCACAATAAATTGCCTCTTGTGTGTTTAAATAATTATTTCTTTGTATTTTGTCATTGTAGTAAATCAGTTGAAGAGCCTCCTACTGAAGCAGTGCAGAGAAATTCCCTCTTCTCTCTCCCCTTCAAAGAAAAAGCCTCCACCCAACGTAAAGTGTTGGTTGCTAAACATTTAAATCCAGTAGATACTTAGGACAGCTATTTGCAGACGTATTTGTCAAGCTGGGTAATATTTCCTATAGTTAACAGTTTGCTTTCCATTTACCCGTGATTTGACCTTTTTAGAGAGTACAGCAGGGGGGAAGGTCCAACTCAGCTGATTTTCAAGATTTGGTCCCAATGATTCACAACCAATCAGAGTACATCCAACACCTGGAAGCTGAGGTCAAATTGTGCAAGGTATAATAAAAAAAAATAATCGTGTTTATATACATGTAGGCAGTCTTTTTAACTTTTGTTCCCATTTGGATACGATTCAATTCATTTCTATGTGTGCGTGACTTCAGGAGGAGCTGCAGGGGATGAAGCAGCGGATCAGAGTGGTGGTGGTGGACAATGAGAAGCTGCAGTCAGACCTCAAATCAAGAGCTGCGGATGAATCACTAAAAGACTACACCATGAGAAACTCCATGGTAATAATAATGTGTCCTTGTGATAATGAGGAATGAAGAATATTTGTACATTCTCACTTTCTACAGTATAAAAGGGCATAAATACTTCATAATACGTCAAAAATAATGAAATAATTGTGATGTTATTTCTTTTTTACATGTTGTCAGTTAAATGCAGAAATGCAGCATAGTTGTAGATATCACAGTTATCTTTAGGAAAAGCTAGTTCAAACTCTGTTACATCCAGTATGCTTTTCAAAACAAATTCACAAAATGAACTCAACACTTTACAGTAGAAGTGTTGACAACACTGCCTCAAGGTTCAAGGTTCTTTATTTGTCAAACGAACATAGCTACAGTGTAGTTATGTCGATGCAAATCTTGTGTCACAGGCTTCTCCAACAGTGCAACACAGATAAACAGAAACATATAGTGCAAGTAAATAGTAAATACAAGAAGAAAATAGTTTGAAATAGTGCAATAAGAGTCTATATGCAAGTCATTGAAATATTATATATTAGATAAATAGATAAATACTTTTTAAGTAGCAGCGAGATGAATATTGTGGATGTTGTTTCAACAGTTCAGGTGTTTAACAGTGTTATATCTGTGCCGATGTGTTCTTCAGGTCAATGAGAGTATGGCAGCCGACAGCCACAGCATGCTGCACAGAGCAGAACACTCCACATGGAAAAATGAAATGGTAGGGACTATGGATCAGCTTTCTCCTCTGTTACTGTTCAGCTCTCCTCATTTATATCTAACCCACATACTCCTCAGGTCATGACATGTTTGCATTATCAAAGTATTTTATGTTGTATAAGAAAATATGGGCTTATTCTCTGTGTACCATTTGTATTGTCCAAGAATCCATTGTTATGGACAAATGTGGTAAAATCATTAACACATCCCATCCCATCCTGTTTGATCATAATGATGTATTAACTCTTAATACATAGTGATTTCAAATGGCATACTGACATTTCTTTTTTCATTAGGAGCAATTGAAAGTGATCTACCAGGCTCAGTTTGAAAGCTTAGAGGCTCAGGTCATCTCCCTCAGGTCAGTTTACTTTACCTTTGTCCAGTTACCATGGCTTTTCCTTTCTCTCTTTTCTATGTGTAGGAATTGTAGGAGTTATCTTATTTCCTGCTATCTGTTTTAGTTATATTTCATCTTCTGCTTTCTTCTTCTTCAGGAAGGATCTGTCGGTCAGTCAGAAGGAGTGTGAGGAGGTGAAGGTTCGCCTGAGACACCGGGAGAAGCAGGCTGCAGACGCACTGCGGGCTGATGGAGCGCCCCGTGTGGCAGGACTGTGTCTGCAGTGTGCGCAGCATGAAGCTGTGTTGGCTGGGACTCACACAAATCTGCATGTGCAGGCCATCGACAGGGTCACAAAGTCAGTGTCCAATACATTCTGCTAATCATTCACAAGTCACTGTATATCATCTCTCAGGGTTCTTACGGTCATTAAAAACCTGGAAAAGTCATGGAAATTCAAAATGCAAATTCCAGGTCCTGAAAAAGTTATGGAAAACAATATTTTTCCCAAAGTTTTGGAAAAGTCATGGAAATGTGACTAAAGTCGCATCAAATATAATTTATATTTTATCTAATCGTCAAAATAGTAATACTATAATGATAATAAATACTGTATCGTATAGTAATGAAACATAAAATGGCATTTAACTGTCGAGGTATTTTGCTGGTGAGAGATTTTAGTTGCTTTAGCGTGTAGAAGCTAGTAAGCCTACTATTTGATTTGTTTTAGATAGGCACAACATGTTTCATATGCAGACCTTATTTTCCTGTTCCATGTTAAAATAAACCATTTTCAGTGGTACCGCTGAGAAAGTACTTTTTTTGGTCATGGAAAATTAGGTAAAGGTCATGGAAAAGTCATTGAAAATCATTCGTGAAAAAGTGTATGAACCCCGTCTCTTTATTTGAGCAAGAATACGATTATGCATTAATATACTGCACCTTATTGACATGTTTCTATATGTGTCTGTAAGAGCCTTTATGATGCTGATGCTGTTTTTATTAGTAGTTTAAAAAAGAAAAAACATATACAAGGGAAAAAGGTGCAAGTAATTTCCTCCTTTTTACTAACGTTTCCCCCCCAATTTCTTGTCCGTCAATTTTTAAGGGAGCGCGATGAGTTGCTGGTGGCTCTGCGTGCCGTGAGGGCCAGTCAGCAGGAGGCGCAACAGAGAGAGTGGTCAGCCTGTCTTCAAGTCAAACAGGCTGTGGAGATGGCGGAAGAAGCACATCTGTACAAAGCGAGGGTCAGAGAAACATACGCACACATCTTTCCATCGGTCTTAGCTTACCATCATTTAGACTTTACTTTCTACATTCCAATTGCGGCTGGTCTGGATAACCTCCTGTATTTGTTTGTGTGCATGCAGGTGGAGGTGCAGTGTGAGCAGCTGTCCAGGGAGCTGGCTCGACAGAGGGAACATGTAGAACGAGAAGCAAAGGTCCTGAAGGAGAGACTGGCTGAGGCCCGAGAGGAGGGCCGAGCGGAGGCCCGCAAACAGAAAGAGGAGCTGGCACACACAGTAATTCTCACTTTTTCACTTTTTAATTCTAGAAAACTATTGTATATGTACTGTATGTCCAGCTCTGGTTGGTTTAAAATACTGAATATATCACTTATAATATATAAATGCACAAACATGAAATCAACTCTCGTTTATGTTTAACAATCACCAGAGGGAAATATTTAAACCGTTTCAGAAAAGTATGATTCATATCACAAATAACAATAAATACAAAATGTATTGCCCTTTTTTGTATTGTGCAGATCTTATTTAAAGGGGACCTATCATGCAAAATGCACTTTTGTATATCTTTTATACATAAAGATGTGTCCCCGGTGTGTCAGGGAACTCACGCAGCATCAGAAAATAAAACCCTCTCTCTTCTCCTCCGTGGGGCTACAACGGAGCTGATCCAGATTTGCGTCCGATATGACGTAATATCGGAAATGTGGACCCACGGCACTATCAGAAAGTTGCTATCAGAAACAATTTTAGACTAACCTGTACTGGAGAGCAAGTGTGTGAAGAAGCAGGAAATAAAAAGGAACTCATCTTGTGGTATAACCGGCAAGAGAGAAAGCCTTTGAGCTCCATACTGTTTCAGAAAGAATCCTTGATAAACCATGAATAAAAATGTCTATATATATGGCTTTTCATCACGGCAGTATTTAGTTTAGACGGTAGCTGCTTTTTTTTTTTTAAAGCTTTATACCCAAAATCAGCACTTTTGAAACAGAAAGTGAAATAGAGGGATATGAGGCATAGCTAGAATGGGTGATCTGTTTAGTATTTTGAGCAAAACACTTAATAGACACGTTTTTTATATATTTTTATATATCTGAGACCTACGCTATTGCCTAAAAATAGCATGATAGGTGACCTTTAAGTTCTTAAAATTGCTGTAAAGAAAGCAATAACTCTTACAAACGCCAATTTGTAAGGGAAACTTCTGTGTAGCAATGCAGTGGGAGTCACCGACTCAGGAAAGAGACACGGGAAGAGCAGGAGCTTTGATGTCAAACACTGATGGTTTATTTGGAGCTTCGGCCGGAGAATTCACATCACAAGTCACAGCAGCCACGATCTGACTGCACGGTAGAGTTACTTTATTTTATTTATTACTTTTTAAAAATAAAATGCCAATCAACTGTGTGTGTGTGTGTGTGTCAGGTATCCAGCCTCTCGCAGCAGGTTGCAGAGTTGCAAGGACAGCTGGACAGAGCTCACAGAGACAACAGCTCTCTGACCAACCAGCTGGAGGATTCTCTCCGCAAACTCACCGCTCAGGAACAAGACAATACCAAGGTACACTGTCTGCAAGAATACGTCTGTGTGTTGTTACTTGTCATTAGTGCTCATGGACTTTTGCTGTTAGACCAGCACCTACAAAGTTTGATGTACCTTTGAAGGAACAGAGGTAAAGAACATTCCTGATACGTGGATGTTTTCTGTACTTTCTACTTGTAATGCTTTCGTAATTCCACTGGATGGCAGCAAAGGTTTATCTATTTCAGTATTTATTCTCTGCTGGAAAGGTAAATTCAATATGAAAACATACATACGCTTAAAATAAGGTTAATGACAAAGCTTAATGTGAAGATTGATCGTTTTTAACATGTTGTATTGTAAAAAGACTTCCTTGTATGCATGCTACTTCCAAGTTGGCAGCGAGATTTTACTTTTACTGAAAGACGCAGGTTCAAGTATTGCATGTCAGCAAATACTCAACATGTTCAAGTGTCTTCGAGAAAGCATACCAACTGTAGTTCTTGTTAGGACAAATGAGAAAACAGATCTTAAGTGTTACATATAAAATAATATTGATATTTATTGTCAATGAATAATAAATACAGTAGTAAAGGTGGAGTTATTTAAATAGAGGTGTATAGTAACAGTAAACATAAATAGACAAATAATAATAATACATTTTATTTGGGGGGCGCCTTTCATAGCACCCAAGGACACCTTACAGGGCATAGGGGCAAATGTATCTTTATTCCCTTGTATGTGCACTTACAGGAAGATAGACAAGTGAAACTCGTAGCCATCACATTTATAACATACTCTATTAAGAGCTGTGAGCTTTGGCCTGAAAAAAGATTCTGATGATTCAAATGAAGGACCTTCCTACATAAGAATAGGGGTATACGTATATAATAAAAAGAAAAGGAAAAGACAAATGATGAAAAAATTAGCACAAGTAATATTTCTAATCAGTCCGTATCGTCTGTAGGTGTGTGTGGATCTGCGATATCAGCTCAGCCAGGCCCAACTGAAGAAAGGGGAGGCAGAGAGAGAGCTGCGAGAGCTCAACACCAAGACCAGCCGACACATGGAGAAAGCTGCACAGGTACGTCTGCATTCAACCCGCTTATCGGATATGAATTACTTCGATTTCTTCAGTAGCTTTAAGGTTCAGGTAAAAGATAGAAATCAGTTATTCTTTGAGGAAATGTAATTAAAGTTTAATTAGAAAAAGCACCCCCAAATATAAGAAAAAACACTTTATTTTCACATCCAACATTTCTTAAAATCCGGTTTTGAAGCATCGGTTGATTGAAAAAAATAAATAAATATATATATACACACAGTGCAAGTCCTGGTTACGCTTTGTTTGTTAGATAGAACTAGTCTCATAAAAAATATGGATTTCCCTGATATTTCAAAACTTAGTTTGACCAATTGGAATCAAACTCTTTCGCATTTTTGATTATCAAAATGATTTCTTATCCATTTAGGTTGGGCGTGTAATTAGCCTCAAATGTTTTGTTTGCAAAGGACATAAGGTGGTTGTTGTGAAAGATTTCCTCACCTCCTCTTCCTTCTCTTTTTTCCATCTCTGCGGGACAGGAAGTGGAAAGGCTGAGCTCAGAGCTGGTTGGCTGTCGGCAGCACCTGGAGGCGGTCCAAAAGGACGGGAGCCAATGGCAGGCCGAAGCCCTGAGCCTAGCAGAACAGCTGGCAAACGCCCAGCGCCAAGTGCACCTCACCAGGTAGTACCTAATCCTATTATACATGCCACCACACTCACACACACACACATACACACACACAGCACTCCCCTCTGCCCAGCTCCTGCCCAGCTCAGCCCTGTCCAGTCCAGTTCAGACCAGCACACCAACTGCAGCGCACCAGGTAACAGTTAATCCTATTATACAAACCACACACACACACAAACACACGCACCAACACACATGCGCTCCTCTGTGCCATGGTCCCGGTACCAACTGGACATCACCAGGTCACCTCTAATCCTGTTAAGCATGCCACAGCATAATGCAACACACACAAACACACACACACACACGCACAGCATGTATATACACACTGCCCACTCCGTGCCACCAGGCCAGTGCCCAGAAACAGCTCCAGCAGAGCCAAAATGGCGCCTAAACCTTTCTTCTGTCCCTTGCACATACACACACACACACTGCGGCTGATGGTCACTGGACAGCCTGGCCTCGGTGCCACCTGCCAGTGCCCTGCATCCCTTCTCACAACGGGCACTACCGGCTCCCCTCCCTCTGACCCTATCTTCTCTCTTTCTATTTCTGCATCTTTTTTTTCCACTGTTTCACTTCCTTTGATATTCTTTAATCATCCCAACGACTCATCATTTTTTCTATGTGCATCTCTTTTTTACCCCCTTAGGTGTCTGTCTTTGCAATCATTTAAACTTCTATCATCTTTCCAATCATTATTTTACCCTCTCTTTTCCTGCATTCCTTCCTTCCCCTCTTCTTCCCTCCTGTCATCCGCTGGCTGCTGTTCCTTTCCACACCATACACTGCCAGGGCCATGCCAGCCCATGCCAGCCGCCCAGGGCACTCTCTCACCCCCGCTGCCCACAGCCGAGGTGTCTGAGATGGGCACAGATGTGGCGGTGGTGGCCTGTGGAGCTGGAGGCAGCGGGATGCAAGTTTGTGTAATCTTTGAGTGTGTGTGAGTGTGTGTGTGTGTGTGTGTGTGTGTGTGTGTGTGTGTGTGTGTGTGTGTGTGTGTGTGTGTGTGTGTGTGTGTGTGTGTGTGTGTGTGTGTGCGGAGGGGGGGTATATTTGTGTTTATGTGTCTTTTAGCTCCCGGCTTGATCTGTGTTTAAGTGTGTTTGTATGTCAGCTGGCCAGCGCTAACACACTGGCCGCATGGCAGTCTGCGTGTGTTTAAGGGATGAAGCAAGCAGTGTGTTTGAGTGTGTGTGTTTGTGTGTGTTTTGCCGCCAGCCGTGGAGAATGACATGCATATTGATGTGGCAACATGATGACTTTGACCTGTACTAGAGGAGCCACTGGACTAAACCATTTTACTACCATGTGTGCGGGTGTATGTGCATGAGAGAGTTTATAGTTTTATCTGTCCGCAGATGCATACTAGATGTTTGACAGCTGTTGACTTGGCTGAGCATGTAGCCATTCAAATTCAATTTTGGTCATTAGCAGTGAAAGCCACTTCTGATTTAATATGGATACTTCTTTCCTCCAGCAGTGCATGAGAAGCAGGAGCACATCAGTATCACAAATCAGATTAAAACTTTTAAAAGCAGTGTTGGACAAAAGTAACAATATTTAAAACAACAAATCCCCACAGCTATAAATAAACTAACGAATTGATAAAGTATGTACTACATGTACTGTACAGGAAGACTGTATATAAAGACTTGCATGTCTGGTAGCCATTCACATAGTTACATTGAATATCATAAAAGGAATCTGCTGGCCTTCTTTTTCTTACAAACTCGGGTTGTATTATGAACCCATGATGAAACCTTTGTATGCATTACCTTGTGTCAGAAACTGTACCATCAGTGCTGGTCAAGCAAGTGGTATGTTTTTATAAACTTAAACTACAAAACAACACATTGAATATACACCTAGAACACCAGCTGGACACTTATTGGAAGGTAAGCAATTAAACTGGCACATGTTAGGGGTGTCCGACTTTTTCAGGCCTGATACTGATCCCTATCAGCCAATACAAAGTCAACATATGACTGGTACTGGTACACTGGCAGTGTTTAAGAAATAAGCTGTGTTACTCAATATGTGTGAAAGTAACTGGGATACTTTCTGATGTCTAAAGCAACATCAGGCTTTGCTTGAACATAGCTTTCTTAACAGTGTAAAACAAAATGTAAAAAGTAAATACATACGGATGAGCTAAATTGTTATTCTTATTAAAACAAGAAATCATAAACCAGCAAGCATGAAAATACCTCCCAACAGTTGACATGTTTGCACCTGTTTTAATTGAGAGAGGGCGCGACGCGTTAATCGTTTAATATATTGGGAACATATACTTTTTTCAAGGCGTTCATCATTTTGACGGTGTACGACCATCTGACAAGTAACTAATTGAATCTCACCGACACAAATGACTATTTCAGCTTCAGAGTTAGGGACCTAAGATTTTCATCGACATAACTACACTGTAGGAATGACAATACAAGCCTTGAATCTTGAATCTTGAGAGTTGCTACAGTCATCACCGTGTCACTTTGGATGTTGCGCTCATCATCGCCCTCAGCATTGGGAATACGAGGCAGGAACTCTTTAGCAAAAGTTCTGCTCAGGACACGCTGAGGATTTTAGTTTCTATTCTCACCACTCACAGTTAAGTTGTCCAGCAGGCTTGTTTTCCTAAACTTGGTGTTTTTTCTTTGAAGCCCATTAAGTCTTTACATCCATCCACTGATTCATCCATGTCTGTTGATCAAAGTTTTCAAAGATGGGGTTGTAGAATATCTCTAATATAATTGCAGATGAAGGCATCTAACGAAACTGGACATCTTTGGAGCAGCAATCAAACACAAACCCACACACATCCACACGTCACATCCACACCTGCTGAGAGTCGGTCACCGCCTTTGTCCGTCCTTTTTTAGTATTGGTCTTTTTTCCTTACTTTTCATGTTCTCTATCGCTTTTTTCTCATGCTGGTCCAAACTGGACAAAAAAACCTCAAGCGCTATCTGTCTGTGGGCCTTCTGGGGCTTTGCAGGACTACATGTAGTTCATTGTAATGCCTCCGTTTGCCCTCTCTCTTGTTGGTCACGAAAGAGCCATGCACAACACCTTGTAATGTATCTGTAGCGGGCAGGTTTGTCTGACGTTGTTTGTGTGAAAGTAAGAGTGTGAGATTCACAGTTGCAAGACTGGGAGGCATTTGTGTGACCATCCTTGGAAGGCAGCTCTTTGATTCTGTCTCTGCAACTTCCTCGCTCCCCTCTTTCATTCTGTCCTCCTCTCGTGGCCCGAATGATCACAGCCCGTCTTCAAACAGGGGACATGAAGCACAGACAGCCTCTGTTTGATTTCTGATAGCCCTACCTTTCCTTTCTGATAAACACTAGCACACATATTTGTTTACACAACATGTACATGCCTGCAAATGTGCACACTGACGCGCACATCAGTCGAATCCACATGCCTGTACACACACACACACACACACACACACACACACACACACACACACACACACACACGCACACACAGATGCATGCACGCATCCGGGGGACCCACAGCGGCTGGTGCTGTGCTGCGCTCCAGGATTGGATCATCAGCCAGCTGTGAGTTGGACAGCCCAGGATCTGTCCTAATCCCTGCCACTCTGTTCACATCGCCACACAGACACACACACACACACACACACACACATATATACGCACACTTATACACATTCCAGCCCCAGCCCAGCAGAGGGCTTTACTAAGTTTGTTTTGTTTGTTTGCTCCTGTCTTTCTTGACTTTCTTTCTGCTCCTCTTTCCCTCGTCTCCATCCGGCTCTATTTCTCTTGTGTTGTGATCACATTTCCCAAAGGCCTTAGTGAAAACTGTCCGGCATAACTTTGCTTCAACACATGCCAGGTATGCATATATGAATAGATGTGTGTGTTTGCCTGGGTTAGTATATCCATGGTCAGTTGAGGCTTTTGTGGTTTGGACGAGTCGAGGCCACAAATCTTCCACCAGTTTGGTTATCCCTATGAAATCAAGCATCCATGTTCATGAGGGTGCTTGCCGAAAGCTGTGGACGGACGTGGAGCTGAAATGACTTCAGTGAAGAAGTTAACTTGTTGTCACTTTCTCACCTAAAACTTGTGACTATGGTTTCCAGGGCCAGAACATTTCCAAACAGGACCGTCATAATATTTAATCTGCATCTGCGTGAAATGAGATCAAGAAAGAATCGGAGCTTTCAGCCAAAAATGTAAACCATTTTTATTAACTCTTTAATTGAGATTTGATTTCACTTTCATTTTTTTTTTTTTTTACAAACCTAACCAAAATACTGACAAGGAAGATATTAGAAAGACAATAAAGAGAATACATATGGAACTTGTATTCAAGTTTATTGAATTATAATACCAATTCTAAGCTTCTTAACAGATATTAAAGGTGGGGTAGGTAAGAATGGAGAAACCAGCTCGAGTGCGCTAGAATTTGAAAGTAGACAACCGGAAAAAATCTTCCTTACAGAGCCCCTCCTCCAACACACACGAACGAGCACATGACCAATGAGGGCACGAGATAAGTTTGTGCACAGATGGAAGGCTGACAGGCAGGTAGGCCATCCAGTTACTCATCCGGCTCAGATGATTGGTCGTGCTTTTTACAGCGCCACGGCTTCCACAGATGTATTTATTGTCAAAGCATTTAATGTATTCATTGCTATCGGGATGTTAAGAGCATTCCATGGAATATAACAAAAAGTGTATCTGAAGTGAATTACCTACCCCACCTTTTAATGAATGAAATGAAACATGAAGTGCATCTTTGAATGGAAAAACAACACTGAATGCTTTTGACTCTTTCCATTATGAGTGTTATTTGCAAGGAGGATAACTGAGGAGGTCTCTTCTTTTTATTCGCTAAACTTTTTTGGGTCAGAGTTTTGATTATCTAAAGCAGGGGTGTCAAACTCAAGGCCCGGGGCCAAATCCGGCCCGTGACTTCACTTCCTGTGGAAGAGCTTGCAAAGAATATAATATGTTTAT